CCAGATACAAAAATAAAGATTACAGCTTTAGACGAAATAATACAACATTTGATCTTGTTATTCAATTATGTCTTGTCCATAATCTTTGAGTAGAAAATATTGAGAACAGAGAAAGAAACGAGGTTAAAAAATGTCGAATAAACTAAATATAGCTAATGCATGTTAAGACAAAAACAAATATGGAGCCAAATTGAATACAATACTGAGAAATTAAAAATATAAAGTGAATATAAAGTTTTACGACTCTGAAATGCACTGCCTGAAGTAATCTGAGAGCTTCGCAATAGGTATATGTTCAAAAATTTACTAAAATGATAGTAGCTAGTCTTTATCTTCCTTTTATATTTTCTATAATATTTTTCCTTTATACTAAAGTATGTATATTATAATTACTGATTTATATTATTATTATTACTAATATTTTATGTTACGTTTATATTTAATAAACTGTTACTATCATTTCCTATCCTAATAATGAAGTGTTTCGTTTGTGAAAGGTTGACTGGTAGAGAATGCTACTAGCATTAAGTCCGTCTTTTCTACTCGTATCATATTTTCATTTATTCTATAAAGTTATTCAAACAAATTAATATCTAATTCTTTTTAAAATACATTGATAAAAACAATATACTTATATATACTGTTTCGAGTTCATCTCCAAAAAAACATTGAGAACTGCTAATTTAAAACGTTCGTTGGCAATGATTATCATTTAGATCATAATCATTGCCAACGACATCAATAACTCCTCTTCGTATTACATTGTTTCGATCAATATTAATAATAAATAGTAATATACAAAAATCTATCCGTCCGTGTGTTCTCGGCATAGAACAGGCCACCCCTTCGTTTCCTGTGGATGTCGTAGAGGCGACTAAAGAATAAGTTTCTTAATGGTAGAGGGGTGAGCAGTTACATCTCCCTTAAAACACTTCTAAAAGCCTAACTGCGGTTGCCAATCCGGTTGCCAAGCGTGACAACTACTGGCAATACTCTCCTTATGGGGAAGGCGTATGTAGTCCAGCAGTGGACTGTTAACAGCTGATATGATACAAAAATATACCAATGGGAGCAAAAGAATGAATCGCAACTAGGTTACCTATAGTTAGGACAATGAATAATTCAGTGGCTCCGAGCCTTGCCAATATGCTGCCTCGGATTTATAAATATAAGACAAACCCGTCCATTTTAACTTCACTGAAAAATTTATAATGCACTTGTCTTGTATTTTAGTATACTTATTTTTATTTAATTAAATGCAAATGTAGCTTCTAAATATGCAAACAAATAATTTATGATTTATTGTAAAAAAAATCGACTAATATTGATAAAATTAGTGAGAATATAAAAAAGGTTCAAAATCAGCAAAAATGCCATGTATCTAAATCAGATACAAATAAAATGTATAGCGCCGAATTGAAAACTTTATCTTTTAAAAAAAATACATTTGTTAGTACATTCTATATGCTAGATTTATTGAATATTAATTGGATTATACCTATAGCATGGCTTATTTTTTATTAAAACTCACCTTCCTACTCTAAACCTTCTGCACGGGCGCAGTTCCAACGTGATGTATTTACTGCTACGATTTTAATTAAATGCTTTTATTGGAGCTTCGGATTAAATAGGGGCTGGTAATTAAAGCCAACCAGGATTAACGACCTTTGTCTACTACAATTATGATTTATTGAGTCCATGTAATCGGCGCTTTTGTCGTTTAATAACTAAATTAATTCTTGTCGTCCCCAACATAAGAAGCTGTTAACTCTATATAGGTTTGAGTACGTGTATAAGTTATTTTATACAAGTGAATTGCTCTCAACACTTTAATACGATTAATAGAACAAAAACCTACCAATTATTGAAGGGTGGAAATAGACATGACTCCTAAATTAACAAAATTAAATAATTGAAGCTAAATCGTTGAGCAGAGTAGGTATCGCTGGCGGGTGAACCCCAGTATCAATATTTAATCGAGACACAGGCGCCGCTCGAAGACTGTTTGTCTTGTGCACCACGACTCATAATGGCTGAAGGGCTGTTTACATTTCACTATAGAACATGAAATAACCTTATTAACGTTTTCGCATTCCCGTCCTTCAGATCTGTTATATCCAATTCAGTTCTCTAAAAATTAAATATACAATAGCTCGCTTAGAATTATAAATTATTTCAAGTATCTGTTTTGACGGACCATTATTGTCGAAATACCTTCTTTCGGTCTTTACCAGATTATGTGTTAACATATAATCTGGTAAAATATAGTTTTACAACATTTAAGTTAATATATTCATTGATTTACATAAATAAAAAAAATATCCTGACTAACTGACAAAAACTAATGTATCAACGCACAATTTAAACTTCTAGGGTTAGAAACTTAAAATATTTTTATAAATACATAGATTTATTTTATAATTTAGACATCTAGTTAGAAAGGAAATAAAAAATCTATGTTTTCAATTGTCATATCTATTTTTTTAATCTCATTATGCAGTTCTATGAAACGGCGACTTATTTCTTATTTCGATATTAAATAATTTATACGAAAGAAAAAAAATTACTACTTTTGTTTACAAATGCGAAAGTACTCATTCATGTTATATGAATGAGTGTTGTGAATGAAATTTTGTACTCAGATTATATCCTAATTTAAAACGTAAGATTCTTTATACAATAACCTACGCACGTAAAACCATGGTATACAGATAAATTATAAATTAATATATGTAGACGACTGTAATCCATTTTGGAGCATTTAGAGAAATCTATCGACTATTACAAATTTTAATATAAAAATTAATACTTCATAAAAGATAGATTATAATAATTCAGGGTAGTTATATTGTATAATTTATTTATTGTAAACTAGTGTAGATCGTTTCATCATAAGAACTTTTTTCTACAAATTTCTCTTGATTTAGTAAAAGATATAATAATAAATATTATCTGTATAGCTAAACCGCCACTTCCGAGGATTGAGTAATTTCCCATAAAGCCTGCAAGTAATTATATACAACAGATTGTGTACAAAATTGTATAAAGTAAGTGAATATTTAATAAATACTTGGCATATTTACTACTACAGATGCGGTAGTACTGTTACCGGGTATCTACCCGGTAACGATACTACCACAACTCAAAATAATTTTACCTATAAAATTAGATAATTTTATATATAAAAATATTTTGAGTATAAATCGACATCATTATGCAACAACGATAAATTCAAATCTTTTGATGAATTTCACTTACATATTTAAGATTTTACCTGTTTGAATACTTTATTTCCAATTTTTCATACTCCACTGTTACTTACCAGAACAACGGATCCTTTTTATTCCCATGATACGAGCTTAATGTACTTATATATCATGCAGAATGGCTGAACACCTAGGTAAATTGCAGTATTTTAGTTAAAGCGAATGCGTTCTATTAGAATTTTTATTAAACGAACTATGACAATCATATTTAAATATTAAACATTTTCTTGATTGAACATTGTAGCAATTCCAATGTATTTATAAGATAATATATCTTATATATTATCTCGTTCATTATGTATCTCGTTTATTAGTATTACATTTTTATAATAACGGATAATCTATTCATTTCAAATAACGATATACCTAATTCTATATTATCTACTTTGTTTAAAACCAAAACAAATACCCCGCAATCTGAAATAGCGTAGGCGTGTCCCTTATTTTCCTTGTCAATACAAATATTGAAAAATCATTACCTACGTTCACTTCTTTTCTTTTCAAGTGAACACGATTTTCTTTAGATAAGTCGTAAAGAAAATTATTTTCGCTTCAATCGCTATATTTTCGTAGAATTATTCTCACTTCGAACGTAAGTGAATATTTTCATAGGGAATCTTAACGCCTTCCCTTTTTTCCTTTTCCCTTTTATTTCGATTTTCTTCACCTTTGTCTAGATCAAAGTTGTTATTCTCTCTCTGATGAAAATTTAATCTTTTCAATAAATTCCTGTTTCTGTAAATAAAGATAAATATACCTGATTTTTTATAAATAACACTTTTTGTGTCTCCATTCCATTCTGTCTCCAGAATTTCATTAAAGAATACTAACGGAATAACATCACAATATTATGTTACCTCAGTGCTCAAAATAACATAAGTATAAGTAAAATAATTCAAAATAACATAGGTATAAGTGAACCTTATACCAACCTGAACAATTTGGAAGTAATAGAATACTAGTAGTGACCTGCTGCATTAACAAGCAAATTTCAATAAAATCCATTCAGCCATTAAACATGATTAAGTGACAAATATCCAAACATCTTTATAAATTGTTACATTTATAATATTAATAGGATTACAGTATATCCGCAATACGAATTTTCACTGCTCAAATATTTTTCCGCGTACTCATATGTAACATACATAATAAAATACGGGGAAAATATTCGAAAACTATATGAAACTACGCACTGCGGAAAAAATCCTTAGAAAAATCAAATCTACACTTATCCATACATAAGTACGCAGAAAGATCACGATCAGCTAACTGGCCTGCCTTTTCATTCTCACCTATTATCACTCACTGGTGCCCCGCCAGCACATACCGTTAGCGCAGGCAAGGTTACCATTCCATTATCATCTATACAAAAAAAGAAGGAAAAGATTCAACAGTGGGGCGTTCCCTACAGTGATACAATTAAGGAGAATTTGGAATGTTAGTAAAACGGATTAACATACCCTCACTATGCTATACTATATAGAGAAAAATGATAGAGATCAGTTTCCCTAGAAACCATCGTAGTTATTTCCTGTTAAATTCTTCTTGACGAGCTACCTGACATGAGTTTATTTTGCTTGTCATCCTTCAGCCAGTCAACATAAGCCATTAGTGTAAATTAAATTAGCATTGCACTTTCACCTTTTTAAAAAAAAGTGGTAATTATGATGATAACTAAATTACACTTTCATTGTATACAGAACAGAATTATCCATAAATTAAAAGTAGTCAAAATGCATTTCTATTTATTTATTAAATCTTGGCTATCTGTTTGTACATAATAAACTACTATTCACGTAAAAACATATATCTACACATCATTGTCATCAAAATGTTATATATCAAGTTACAACCTTAGTTTCAGAATGATGAATGAAATGTATCGATATCCAAATGTACGCAGTTATATGAAACATTGAATACAAACTATTGAATATTAAGTAAATTAGTTAAATGTGTCATTGATGTAGATACTCATTATATTCTGTATCTAACAGAAAAATTGTGTATAATCATTAAAACTGTTGTAACTATTGTATATATAAAAATAGCAATATTACTAATTGCTAGCAAATGACAAATATTCTGCCTTCATAAGTGGAAATTAAAACAATTTTCTTGAAATACAAATCATTATTACATTTTTTTTTATTAGCTCTACACTTAAATAAGCATGTTATACTCGTTTAAAATATGCCAACATATATTTACCGTCCAGTAACAGTCTTAAAAAGCACATACGTTAAAATTATGAAAATGTATAGTGAATATTTTGTGCAAAAAATAAAATTTGGCACTAAACAGTCAAATGTGCTACATGATTATTAGCATAGTCATACGCCAATGGTATAAAGGATTAACAGGGAAGACTTGATCTGTGGAGTTACTCCCAAAACACCGTCTCAATAAAAAGATTAAAAAAGAAATATATAATTTTACAATTAAATACCATCAATATTAATATTACGGTTGTTTTATGCGACAACAATGGCAATGAAGCTTACAACCCAACTGATAATAAACACTACCCATAGCGAATTAAATATCAACCATAGATGTAAATATACATATTATGTTGAGGTTATATTTATAAGAACCTATAAATCTCGTTTATTTTGGGAGTACTTCAGCTACATTTTGCATTTTGGCATTCATAGTTCATAGGTACGTATAATAATAATATTAGAATATATCCCAATTTTTCGACTCCAACTACATCATTCATGTCGGTGATTGCATGTTACAGTTTATTGCGTATTAGACATTATTGTATTACTAAGACTGATGTCTTCAGATTTTGATAACTTTACCAATTGCTCTAATAATAAATAAAAGGGTTTGTATAGGTTGTAAAGAATAATTGTGGAAAAAAATTGTCAACAAAGTCGTATTTGTTGTAAAAAAAAAAAAGGAAAAAATCCGGAAACAATACCAACAGCAATGGTGTAGTGGATACAAAACAAAATACAAACTTAGTTTAAGAATCACAATGCTACTACGACTTATGACAAAAATATGTCTATCGTCTATGGTCTTTGATATAATTTAACAGAACAATTATTTACACTTTGGACACGAACAATATTTATAGCTGCTCAGCTAATCACTCTATTTGTACTTATTTCAATAAAAAAATATGCACGTCCAACTGTATCACAAAACACCTGCAAAAGCAGCCAACCGCTCCGAACTGTAACAATAAGTAAATTATATAATAATTGCAATTTGAAATATTATCAATTATATCTAAATAACTCAAATTCCTAAAATTTTAAAATATTGAATAATGATAAATAAAAACGAAAATAGATTTTAATGTATACTAATTTATCAACTTAAAAAGATACTATACAGCAAAGCAAATAATAAATCATAAGAACAGTTACTATTGTATTGTATCTATACTTAGAAAGGTAGGTATCTAATAAAATATGAAAAAGGTCTTATTTCAATTATTAACAGTTATATAAAAGATGTCTTATTATATGAACTATAATATTTTGCTACGCATGCAAGCAATGAATGAAATTTTGATGAAGAGACGGATAACCCACTAAGATAACTTCGGTATTATCATAAGTTAGAACGTCTTGTCAACTCGGTCTTCTTTATTTGAAAGGTTGTCATTCTTCTCCCTTGTAAGGTATTTTTTGTATACAACATATTATACAAATGTTTCCTTATTCTCACATTTGAGTGCCTTGTATTATAAGAAACCTGACAATGAATATTTAGAAATATAACCAGAAATAGAAACCCTAAAAACTACAGTAAATACATATAAGCCAACCAAGGATTGAAACGAATATTATTTATACAAAACAACATAATGTAAGATTAATAAATCTGCTGTTAAATTTAAAATTGGAAATTTAAGAAATTCTTTTAAATATCATATAAACTTGTATAATAAAAATAAATTATGGACTAAAATTAATTTCCACCTATGTGAATTTTTAAACATTTCCATTGTTTGAACATTACTTTCATATTTCTTTTTAAAATAAATAAATATTTCGTAAGGCGTAAATTTACTAACTACAAAATAGATACTCACATTAGTGCTACGTTAGAAGAGAGTCATATTCGAAGGGAGTGGGGTCGGCTGCTCGCAGGTGTCACCACAGTACGCCGCCGGATATATTCGACACCTCTATTTGGTCCTCCGCCTCTGTGTCGATAACCGGCACACGTCTTCTCCTATATCGTAATCGGAAACTTGCCCATAGGATCAATGACATTACTATTAAACTTGATACTGCTGCAGTTCCTATATATTGTGCATAATTTGTACGAGCCGATTGGTAAGGAGAATACTCAGATTTTTCATTTGAACTAGTAGCGTATAATTCACCAACGGTAACACTTTCTGCTTCGTCTATTAATATAGGTATAGGTTTGGATCCAGAATTATTCGTCGGTTTTATAATTGTATCTATCTTACTAGTTACATTATTTGGTGTATTCAAACGTTTTCCAGATCGATTTTTTCTTCGAATTTCAACGACATCTTCATAAACAGATATTTTCTTGTAGTTTTGCGTAGGCAATGAATACGGTTCGATATCTAAAAATTTGTGATCAATACTAAACCGATCGTTTTGAAGTTTATTTTGATCCAGCACTTTACTAGATTCTCTGGCTTTAAACACATTACTTTCATTTAAATAATCATTTATGTAAATTTTATTTTCGTTTTTCGAAGGTAGTGGTACATATTTAACTGTAAGTATTGTCATATTATTATTTGCCTTTACCTCTGGTTTATTTTTGTTCTTTTCGGTATTTTTCACATAATAACTGTTGTTTTCATGTTTAGATACTCTCTCTGTTTTATTATTAAGGTAGCCATAATACCTCAATAACTTATTAATCATTTCAGTACTGTAGAGATTTACTGGCGGCAAACTTTCGCTTATTGTAAATGTCTCAGGAAATGTACAATTGTACTTATTTATTTCTGATTTAGCAACTGATGTTGAGTAATAGCAAGTTTCTCCATTAGATAAAGTTTTATTCCAGTTCATCCAATCTTTTAACCACGATTCAGCACTACAATTAATGCTATTACCATGCAATCTTAAAGTCTTCAATTGTACTAAATAAAAAAGTAAATCATTTCTAATTTCAGACAAGTTATTCATTCTTAGGTCTAAATATTGTAAATGTGAGAAAGCAGCTAAAGCTGCTGAATCTGCAAGCAATTGCCTCGCCAATCCTGGACTAGATTGAAGATGTAGCATCTGGACACTTTCCGGTGATGACATAGGAAATGACCCATCTTGTTGTAGCGTAGTAAAATTTAAATAACATAGTCTTAAGTCCCGAAGAGAAAGAGGTCCGTCGAAAGTATTGGATGATAACATTCTTATAGGGTTATTTGACAAATCTAACATCTCTAAGGATAATAGATCATCAAATACATGTTCTTCAATGTAGTTTATATTATTATACTGTAATAGTAAAATCCTCAAATTTGGTAAATTTTTAAGATCCGGTATAGACAAATTTTTTATTAAATTGTTATTGATAGATAAATATTTTAATTCATCTGGTAAAGATTTAGGAACACTTGTTAGTAGGTTTTTGTTCAAATTCAAAAATAATAACATTTCTAGTCTTCCTAAAGAATCGTCTTCAACTAAAACAATTTTGTTGTCAGAAAAATCCAGGGATTGCAACAATGGATAACTGTCTAAATCTCCACATCTAACAGCTGATATTCTGTTTCCAACTAATGATAAAAATCGAACTGAATGTGTGAATGCCTCCGGCACTTGATATAAACCAGTTCTAGATGCATCTATTTGCTGCAGTCTGCGTCCCGTGCCCACCAATAACTGAGTGTCTAGCTGTGTAATTCCCAAATGGGGATTATCTGTTAATAATAATCGTGCTAAATTTGGTAGTAATTGGAGAGCTCCAGGCGCTAATTTTTTTAAGTTATTATGGGATACATCTAAATGTTGTAACAACCAGTTATTAAAATAATTCTCATGAATAAACTGAATGTTATTTCGACTTAAATTAAGATGCTGAAGATTTTTAAGTGGCGTAAAAACATTTGCTAAAATTGTTAAATTATTCTCCGACAAATCCAACGATTCCAATTTTGATAACCCATTAAAACTTTCTTCGAATATGTTGATGATTTCATTTCTACTCAAAATTAGTTTTCGTAAGTTTGAAAAGTTATTAAAGAGGCCTGTGGTTATATATTGCAATTTATTCGAGGATAGGTCAATTTCTCTTAAGTTTTGTGGTTTAATGTTGAATCTTAATTTGACGATGTTATTATTTCTAATAGACAACGAATAAGTATTCAATAACGGTAATTCAATATGAACAGTGCTTTCATTACATGTCTTTCCATAGGTAATAGCAACTTCTGAAAGAGTTTTATTTATGTATTTTTGCGACCATGATGACATCTGTGTGTCTTCATTACAGCATACAGAAGTGTGATATACATTAAAATTTTCTTTGACAGTAACATTGTAGGAACATTTTTGGCATAAAGTTATGTTATTGTTACACATGCATGTTTTTAGGCAAATAGAAGCTAAATTGGTGACTTGCCACGACGATATAATTACTAAAAGTAAGCACTGTTTTAATGATAGAGCCATCGCTGACACAATTTTGTGGTCTTTTAAAACTTTAAGCTGGATTTAGTACCAAGTGGTACTGCAGTTGACTGGATTGAAACATATTAACACCTTTCACATCAGCACTAAAGTCTTGAATTTCACGAAACATACTTGTAAGTTTACACCAGCACAAGCACTCAAGTTGCCGCGGTTATAGCGGCTCTACTGTCACTCATGTTCAATTCTGGCTCAACTGTCACTATTTACCTAAACAGAACACTTAAGTATTATGTAAATTTAATGTAAGAAGAAACATGTGAGAGTACAACACGCGAATGTCACATCAATGTACAGTCGTTGTTATTGAGTCACGTCAGTTGCGAGTGGATAATGTGACAAACAGCACGGCCGAAGTCACGACTGGCGCCAGCGGGTCTGGCCGCGAACTATACGAAGCAAGGGCGAGAGCCTCGGCGCCGGCGCTCTGCCGCCCCGTCTACATCTCTTACAGCCTCATTTTTATATAGTCAACTGACTTCCACACCGCCACTATTTATGTCATACTCGGCGCTCCCTAATACGTTATTTCGTGGACGCAAGTATTTGTAAGTGTAGGTTATATTTTTCGGTCGCTCTCTAGCTGAGATTGCTCCCTGTTGGGCTGTCTCGGTAGGAGAGCATGATTTAAACGATAACTTATTATTGCTGAATGGCTTACTTTGTTTTATATTATCATATCGCTAGTTGGCGAAAAACGTTACGTATTTTAGTAACATTTTTATAATTTGGCGTTCTCTTTGCAAACTCAATATTAAATGATGCAGTAGGTAGATATTGTAGAAATACGAGTATTACCTAATATATGCTCCGATACTTTTTACATATAAATCTGTTTGTGTTTTTTAAATATATCTTGTCATTTTTTCTATTATTTTTAAACATATATATAATATAATAATATTGTAACTAGACAATATCGGTACATAGGAGATAATTAAGAAAAAAAATATCGTGGGGTATTAATAAGAGCAATAGAAGTGCAAATAATAATTTGTAGAATATAAAATAATAATAATATATAATAATAATAAAACTACCACACCAAGTTTGGTGCATTTACTTACGAAAAAAACTTTATTATACTTGTTTTTAATAAAAGATAAAAAAATTAGATATTTTGTATAATTTAAATATTCTTACAAGTTCAATAGTTTAACGAGCTATAATACATATTTAAACCGGTACTGTCAAATATTCATATATAAAAGCCATAATCCTATTAACATTATAAATATGAAAGTTTGTATGAATAGATGGATGGATGAATGTTTGTTACACTATCACGTAAAAAGTACTGAACGGATTTGAATATAATTTGGTACACGGTTAGATTATATCCTAACTTAGTACGTAGGACACTTTATGTACTTACTAATTCACACAGGCGAAGCCGCAAGACATAGATAATAAGAAATGTAAGTGTGTGTTATAAATTCATTAATTACATTTTACTCAAATAAACTTTATATCAAAGTATTATACTATACATATCAATAAAAATAATGAGCTAGTAAAAAAAAATAGGTAAACCTTAATAGATTAGAATAGACAAATGTAATTGAATTTACAAACTATTTTGTATTAAATATCTACACATACAAAAATATATGTATTCAATTTTGTAAAAAGCTGTTGTTATCCCAAATAAAATAAATAATAATAATAAGCTAGTCACTATTCGAGCAAAAGATTACTATGACGAGCGAACGAGCGCCTACCTTTTACCGCGATTAATAAATTCTCTACCTACCGACTTGCGAAACAATATCACTGTCAAAAACATAAAATTTAAACTGAAAGCTTATTTACTGTCCAACCTTGGTAAAACAGCAGAATATTAATGTAAATAGTGATATTTGAGAACCGAATGTAAAGTATCACACACAAGCCCAAGAGGTTTAAGTGGTACTAAAAATCCAATTTTTTAATGTATTTATGTATGATAATTAAATAAAAAAAATATATAAATATTCAGTAATAAAAATCATAAAAAATATTGATACCAGCCAGTAATAAACATTAGTCAATAGCTTACCCAACTATAGGTATTGAAGTGAACCACCAAATTTCATTACTTTTATTATACTGTTTGTGTGCTTGCAATAATATAAGTAAATATTTATAAATGTGATTTGTAATAGACGGGTCTCCTTTGGATTACTTATTTCTTTATTAATTGCTTTTGTAAACATAACATATGTTTATAATATAGGTATAAGGTTATAATAAAAATGTACTCATACTCATCTCTTAAAGGGATCTCTTCCAGTCAACCTTGAGAACCCTAAAAGAGAAAGTATCTATAGGGTTTGTATATAAAGCATAACATATATATAATGGGAAATTGGTATTAATTCTAATTAAGGTATTGGTATTAGATCTAATAAATTAATCACGATATTTAGATATATCTACAAACAGCACAATCACCTACTATCTAAATTTACAAATAGGTAATATCCTAATACAAAATATTACTTTGACTTGTTTTTATTATAAAATCAAGTACACAATTATACTAAATAAATACACAGACTATATGATCGAATTTTTTATCGTTATTTTATGAACTATTGCAAGCGATGTTGCTGATACATGTAGATTTTGTAAGTAAGTAACCACTCTTAAACAACGTAACAAGATAATACATAGATATATACAAAAAAAATTATACTAATATATCATATACTATATAAGAGAGAAAATTTAAAATTAACTATATAGAACTATGTAATCCGCATTTAATTTGGTATTAAAGCAGAACAAACATGCAAACAAACAAAAATTAAAAAAATATTTTGCCTCTATTGGTCTCATTAAAACCCTTCTTATATTTTTTTCTAAAATATTTCCTACGAGGATGATATCGTTTACAGATATCGTTTAGTTACAATTTCATTATTTTAGTAAGCCTACCTATTTTACGAGTAATGTGATCAAAAAAACTCGACTTGTTTCGAGACCATTCGGGGCTGTTAGTCTCCAGCGACTGTAATACGAACGCGAAACTAGTAGAGTTTTCTCGGTCAAATTTCACCTAAGTTAAACCGGTAGATAATACATTAAAATATAGTGTATACTTATAAGACGTTTAATAATAAATCCAATTCTTTTGTTTAAAAATTTTCACAATATTGTACACCGCTCTTTCCGCTGGCATTGATGCTCCTTTCCACTTCGGGTTTGCTGGAAAAGAACTCTTTTAGAGTTAAGCTTACCTTTAAATATTTGATTACCTCTGTCATATTTTTATGTGTAACTAGTGTGTACAACAAAGTATTAATAAAATAAAAAAAAATAAGACTAGCTAATTCCCGCGAATTCTTTCACGTGGCATTAGAACTCTTTTTCTCCCTTATATAAGTAAAAATAACAAGATTTTTTTTAAAACTGGCATAAATTATAATTTATCTAAAAACATCTAGATGATATAAAATTTTAAACAAAATAGGTATTCCATATTTCCTACTATATGTGTTGATACAGTCAGTCAGAAGTTTGGCTTCTTTTTATATTTTATAATAAGCAGACAGTAGAATTTGTACAATTTTCTAAGTTGAAATTTAAAAATGCGACCAAATTACTAATATTTCCCAGCTCTAGTAGCGATTGAGGGATTTTATTACTTTGTCAACCAAAATGAGACAACTATATTATACCACAATTTGAGAATCTGACATCGCATACGTAGACGTGGCTAAAATGTACTATGTTTTCGTCCTCAAAACATTCAGGAAGGGACAAGAAAAGTTCAAATAACCCAAATTAAGGAGCGCAATAAAGAGACCCTTCGGAAAGCCTTGTGGGAGCAATTCATGAAAATGCTAGTCGAACGTTTCAGTAAAGATGTTCGAAACAGTATAAAGGGTTGAATAAAAAGGTGGCCAAAGTCCACCTTTATACAGCCTTTCTTTTACTCACCTGATTTCTTTTGTACGTCTTGAACGTTTAGGTTACTTAAATAAGCACTATCTCTTGTTTTGTTACAATGAGAGTTTTTTTCTGTAATTTTAAGTATATCAACAAATTTTAACAAGCCTAACTAGTGCATTTCGGACTGATATTCTAAACTTGAAGGTGAATATATCCTTGAAATAGGTCTCTGGATCAAGCAGAAAATTTGTTACACGTTGTTAGTATTCTATTTAGTACAAGTCAGTAATTCCAGATGGAGAGAGATTAATAGGTATTATTAACCAGCCATTAAATTGAAGGCAACAGTAAATTTACACACATTTCATTGAGCATATTTGACATGGCCATATCATATCATGGTCTTCCGGATTAATTTGTTTGGTACTGAGTTTTCCGTCACGGAAATTAAAAATGTCATACATAAAGTTTGAAACAAAACTTCAGTGTCTTTTAAGACGAAGTACTAAACCACAAGCTAAAGCCATGACACTAAAAATTTTGGTGTACTACATAAAATAAAATCAGCACTTGGTTTATATGATGTAAAACATGAATAATAGCTAACAATATGTTATATTCATTATCTTTAACATTATGTTTCGGCGATTTATTACTGACAATATTATTTATTTTAATTCAATTATCTATAACAATATTGTAAAGAAGATAGATTACAGTTGTCTTTCTATCTACACGACGTCGAAGCAGAAAACAAGTAATAAAATATTTATACTAATAATATTAATAATATTTATTTATAAAATATTTATTTATTTGAAAGGCTTTTTTTGTGTACAAAAACTATTGTAAGCAATGATCAATAAAGTTAATAGATAATAATAAAAAAATAACATTCCGGAGACTACCATGTAATGAGGAAATTGATGATAGATATTGCAACGTTCAAGTTTTGTGGCAATGGATTTTTTTTTAGTGGATGATAATGGAATGATAACCCCACCCGCGCTATTGGTATACACTGACGAGGCACCAGTGAGGAATGATAAGTGAAGATGAAGCAAAGCAGTTAGCTCATCGTGACGAATTCAATAAAATTGTTCACGACGGTTTCCAGGGGGAACCTCATGGAGGTCGACCTAATAGGGCATGTTGCTAGCAATGGAGCTGTCAAACTCCATTGCTAAGAATCCCTTTCCCCCGGCAATGAATATTATAACAATTATCATAACCTAAAGAAAATTCTTATGTTCAACAGAAAATTGTCGTAATGTAATATTTTATATACAGACGGGACAGGAAAACTTTAAAACTATGTTTCCAAATACTTATTTTTTATAATAGAACTCCTCTCCCAGCTTTAAGTACAAAACATACTCGGACGGCGAGAATATATCTTCTGTATATTAGATTATTGCATCCAGAACATTCCCCATCCATTTCTGGGAGCACCTTTCCCGAATACATTTATTAAAGTGACCCTCAGCTTAGAGGCCGCAAGATAAATCATAGTCAGGAAATGGCGGGTTTTCGCGGTAAACCG